ACTTTAGTCCGTCGCTCATATAGGAATAACAGATTCATAAACACGGAGTTCGGGAGTTGACGCACCTGTGAGCCACGCCGGGAAACACCTTCAGCCCTCCGCACCCTAACCATCAGACAAATTCGTAACTCCGACACCCCGAACTGTATGCACGAAGCTTGAAACCTCGATCTCATACCTGTCTACCCATAAAACCTTGGTTTCCACATGATATTTTCGAATGTCTGTATACATATCAACCCTTCGTTTCCTCGTGCTTCTCTGTCATTATGCCCATGCACAAGAAGCCCATGAAAACTCTTTGCAGCCTTGCCACGTAACCCCACTCCTGGAGCAAAGCTTTGAGCTTGAACGGTGAGAGGCTCTGCTCCTGGTCTTTGGCGTGTATGGGGATTTTCCCAAAATTTGGGGTACTGTTTTGGGGTCCCTATAAGAAGCGTTATAATATTTTTGGGACTAAATTGGGTTCCCGGAAACTACCATACAACAAGAGGCTTTTTGAGTGTAAAAGATAATGACATGGCATTTTTGAGAACAAAATGTCATGGGGATTTTGTTCTCAAAATACTACCAGGATTTTGCCAACTCCAACGCCTAGAATGAGGACCCCTAAGCCCCAAAGTCTAAGCCCTAAACCCTACGTCCTAAACATGGGGATAGCCCAGGGTATGGGCTGTATAGGATCTATACTTACTAGGCCCCCCGACCCTAAGTACCATACATCAACAACCTAACTTCTGCTCCACTCTACATGCCAAACTTGAAGGCCGTAAACTCAAACCACCCCTGAGACGCTGAATTATGAAGCTCCAAAGTTCAAGCCCAAACAATAAAACCTTGATCCCAAAAAGCCTAAAATCCAAATCTCTGACCGCAAACCCTAAACCCTAACCCCAACCCCTAACTCCTGAACAACCTTAAAGATCCCTCCACAGGCGCGCCTGGGTCTGAGGAACAACGCCAAGTGCGCAGCCCGCAGCTTCCAATCGGCTCCATCTTGGCTGGGTTGGGTTTAAGGTTTAGGGGTTCAGGGTTTAGGGTATCAGGGTTTCGAGGTTTAGACACCCAATAGTGAAGAATCTTGGGGAAGATGAATAGGAAGCTGGGATTGTGTAGGCTTTTTTTGCGATTAGGGGGTTCCTGCAATCCCCAGTCCCTTTATGGGCGCCCTGTACTGAGGATTGTGCGATATTGAGGTTTGTACGGAGGGATCCAACATGCATGTGGATGTTTATGTCGTATATACACATAATATAAATAGACATCACATATTACACATATTTTCTGTCGTCTATCTTATCTTACATACTCCATAAATCTTACATTGGTAGAGGCGCCATGTGAGTGATGATGTCAGTTTGTGTCTGTATACAAATGAGGACCAGAATGCAAGTTTGAGTTTCTCGGCAGGGCTTTGGGACACGAAGCTTCAAATGCAGGGTCAAGAGTGGGCCAGTCTTTTCGGACCTATCCTCCCCCAAGCTCACATGGAGCCCGGTACAACACCCCTTAGAAACAACTGTCGTCTTTGTTATAGCGCCCGTTTGGGTGCTCCATGTCAGTTTGGTGCAGATACTGTCAACACTGGAGATCCAAAACCCACCCAAACCCAAACTCCTCCAAAATCTAGACCATCCTCATCACCACGCAGAGCTACGAGGACGTCTGAAAGATCCCTACACTGGCTTTTCTTCAAATTTGGGATATATAGGGATAAAAGGGGATAGATAGGGAGAATGGAAAAGAAAATGGAAACTGCAGTTCAGAGGCTTTTCTTCAAGTAACCTTGTATCTGGCTCAAAGCTTAAGTAGTCAGATACATGAAATAGGATGTGCAACAACTGTCAAATACCAAATGGAGCTTTCTCAAAGCAGAAGAGCCCAAACGGAGCCAAGTGACACATTGGGGGGTCCGATGAAAGACGTGGAGCAGGGATTGTTTCGAGAACTCAGAAATGGGGCTTTCCATCCCCTGAACCCTAAACCCTACAGACACAAAATCCTCGTATGCAATCGCGATTATTCTGAACCCCAAAAGGGGCCCCTAAGTAATAACAATCCAAGCCCAACATATTAATTTACAGATCTTTTTCACCCTCCCGCATCTCCCATAACAACTAAGTTAAAGGACTCGTAATTTTTGGAAGGCACCACGTACTAGCCGGGTCAGGGTGACTCAGTAAGTAGTTGAATAACCGCCCTGCACATTATAACGCCCCCATTTGCTCTTTGCTGTGCCCGCCTGACCCAAACCCTAAATCACATAGAGGCTTCGATTTTCGTCTTCCGTTATTGGCCTACTTACGAGAGGGGGTTTATAAATCAGGGGTCTGGGTTATGAAGTCGGCAGCAGGGTGGCTTTTTCGTATACACATGGCGCGGCCATCCTACCTAATGTGGGGTGTCTCAAAAAAGTCCCTATCAAGCCGTAGCGGAACCCCCACCATCCTCTTACATTGCCTATATGTCCCTGGGGTACCCCCATCACCCTAAAACCCTGAACTCTAAGCCCTGAACCCTGAACCCTAAACCTTGTAAACACTGTAAACCCTGAACCCTAAGTCTGGGTTGTAGCGCGGTGCAGGACTCCCTTAAGCATGGCATGGGCACAAGGGAAGGGGGGTAAACCCTAAAACCTAAAGCCTGAACCCTAAGCCCTAAACACTAGCACACGAAATCCTAAACCCTAAACACTAATTTAGTGTTTAGGGTTAAATCCTGAATGCCGACTCCTAAACCCTAAGCCCCAAATCCTGAATGCTGAATCCTAAACCCCCAGCCTTAAACCCTAAATCCTAAACCCTTAACCCCCAGCCCTAAATCCTAAACCTTTCCAAGTCGGCTCAATGCAAGCCGCGCAACTCGAAGCGAGGGCCAGGTTGAGGGGCCTTCGCTGGCTTAGGGTTTAGGGTTTAGGGATACGTTCAGGGTTTGGGTCTACCGCTTTGGGTTGAAGGAGGGTTTGGGGTCGAAGGCTTTTTAGCGATTATAGTCCCCCTTAAGTAGATACAATATGGGGTATACGGGGATCCTGTTATAATATATCCAAAGCCATATTCTATCTACTTAAGAGGGACTATGGGTTTGAAGGTTTGGGGTCTGGGTTTTTTTGTCTCAGGTTTAAGGTGTAGGCCTTCGGCGGGGGCTGCATGATCTCACCGGCGCTGACCACGTTCCAGAGTTTGACCTACAAGGCTCAGTTTGGTTGAGGCTTCAAGGTGTAAGGTCTAAAGCGGGGTCTAAAGGCTTAAAGTCTAAGGTAGGGTCCAAAGGGCAGGGGGAGGTCTCAGGTTTGAGGTTCTCAGTTGGTGGCTCTTGTGCCTGCACAAGTTTAGGGGCCATGCATATGATTAAAGCGTGAGGAGATTTATCATTGAGGGGACGGGATTTTCGGTGAATGATTACCCTGCACCATTTACGCCAATTTCGGTGTGCAGTACCTGGTACTTCTCAATGAGGCGCTGCAGCAGCATGATGAGGGTGCTGTACCTGGGACAGACCAGATTTGGGTGCCCTGTAAAAAAATAAACCTTATGGGCTATAGGTTCTTTAAAGGGGTTATATCCACAAATACAAAAAAATCTTCCCAGGGCTACGCCAGGTACTGTGAGTCACTGTAGGCCTCCTCCCCATCACCCTCCAAGGCAATAGACACAGAATAGGATTTCACCTGGTGCTTGCTAGGGTAGATCAAAAAGCATGGGGCCCGGGACTTCGAAAGTCACACCACTATTATACAGTTGTACTACTAAAATGAACAGAGGGTAGGGCCATAGCACCCACAAGAAAGCATCCTACAGATTTGAACGTACCCAACTCACCTCGTTAATCTGACCGATGCCGGGGATATGTCCGAGTTCCTTAACCTCTTCCGCGTGCCAGCAGGCCATGTTGTAATCCCAGGCGCAAAAATCTTCCCGTACCAGTACTACTCGATGGCCTTCCTTTGTTGGGCTTCAGAGTCCTTTGAAAATATGATGTACCCTCATGAAACTAATATGGAAAAAAAGCAAATACTCCAAAGGCCAACCCTGGTTCCGCAGTGATCAGATAGTTGGGGCCCATGCCACGGACAGCGAAGTCTTTTTTGACATCTGCTGCCGATCTGCCTTCTGTGCTCCCCAAGATGATGCCTCGAAGCATCGAAGTCTAGCAGTCCCAAGCAAGTTGTCTTAGCGCTGTTGGCTCCTACCTGAAAACCCCAACATCTGAACAAAGTCGACCTCCACAGCTCCATCCCTCAAACTAAGGTACAAGCGATATCTACTGTAGAGGCAGCCATGCGATTTACCCGGCGTCGGTGGGCCTTGCGTATGTCAGTGACCTGCGATTTTCTCAGGGCTTGAATTCGTTCCCATCTGTTGACGTGCATATATTCAACATGTGTCCACAATTTCTTTTTCCAGCGAACAAGCAAGGATATACAAAGATCTGCAGCCGTAACCATGTAAACACGGGAGCATATATGTATAACATATATCAATAGAGGAGGAACGACAGAGACAGAGAGACACAGAGAGACACAGAGAGCGAGGAAGAGGGAAAGGGGGAGTGTCAGGGAAAGCGAAAGGCAGAGATAGAGAAGGAGTGATGCTCGCAGTCTGATCGATGCCCACCTCGTAGAACTGATCGGGGCCTTGAGGGTCTTGTGGGCTGATCGCAGGGCTGTGCTTCTCGGCGATGATGCTGTACCCCCTGGAGCAGATCGCCTTAAACCCCAGTCAGGCAACCAGATTTGGCACGTCCTTATTTCTACGGCTGTAGAACCTGCTAGAGAGTGCGGCTAGAGCAAGATCACGACGGAATCTTGAAACCTTCCATCTCCAGAAATGGGCTTTTGTACATGACAACATGACATGTCATCGCATATCAGGTTCCTTCTGCACAAGTATATGCAATGTCTATGTGTGAATATCCATCCATCCATCCATCCATACATACATACATACATACGTACATACATACATACATACATACATACAGTATGTATGTATGTATGTATGTATGTACGTATGTATGTATGTATGTATGTATACACATATCCCTTCGTTGTTGGGCCAGAGTGGCTGTGCCAGGCATTGGAGACCTTGAGGAGCTGCTGCTGGCAGAGTAGCTCCGAACGCTCCTGAAGGAGCCCACCACGGGTGGGCTGCAGAGGTACCTGGTTTGAACAATTGGGGGAAAAAATTGCCCCTATCGTTTAGGGGGAAAAATATTTTCCCTAGTTGTTCAGTACCTGGTTTGTAGCATTTAAGGGCGGGATTTGGGTAACAGAAGGGCCAGCGGGGCGGGGGCGGGATTTAGGCCGCAGACTTCCCGCAGAAGTCTGGGTTATGGGATCTTTCAGGAGCCGGAGGTCTTAACTAGGGAACTTGAAGAAGCACAAAGGAGCATCGGGAAGCAGTAATTATTGAGTAGCAGATGGCTTACCGCCCTTATGGTAAACCCTCTGGTTCTCTCTGATAGCTAGGCCAGGAAACTCAATCCCGCAGCGCAGCACCGAACCCCCAACTTGTCGTTTCCTTCCTACCAAGAAAGATCTTGAGAGCAAAGCCATGCTCGAATGCCACAACTGTGTTCAGCAGATTAGTTGGGTGGGTTGAGCTCATTCCATAAATCGTCTAGGGGGAGGGTTGTTGTTCGGGGGATGGGGAGGTAGGTTAGAGGATCAACAACATGAAAGACAAACATTTCTCAACAACACTCATAGCACCATGGATCTTCTCGCTCGTCCTTGCTCTTGATAACCTGCGTGATCTGCTCAATCCAATCTGGGATCATCTCAAATTGCGACAACTTCGGAATGAATTCCCGGACTGTCTCCGCAAACACAGAAAGGCCTTCTTCCTCCAACTCGTTGATCTCATTCCCAACTGAAGTGCGGAACAACAAACAGTACCTGTTGCTTCTCCCGCGCTCGTTATCAAACCTGTCTTTGACCTTCTCCTTGTCGGGGTTGTTGCGGCAGGCGTCAATGCAGAACACGATGATGTGGCCCTGTACTTTCTTATCAATTTGTTCCATGATGTCTCCACGTGCAATGTAGTCTCGATCAGCCCTGGTGGCATCTATGGGAATGAAGCGAAAGCAATTGATCTCGCAGCCATCCCCAGCATAGTAGAACAGATGTGCCGAGCCTTCAGACCCGACGGTGTTCATGTCGAGTATAAAGTCATCAACGGCGTTCAGAAACGCGTCGCGCGCTGGATTCGGTAGATGTTTGCAACTTTTCACACCAGCGGCTGTAGCTGCATCATAGATCATCTCAGCCTCCAGAGAGCTTTGGGCTGGTCGGGGGAAGGGAGGTTTCGACTCTGGCTTCAGGTACCCTAAGCCCAAAAAAACCTATAAACACTATAAACCCTAAGCCCTATAAACTCTAAAACCTATCAACCCTAAACCGTAAACCGTACATAATTCCGCCTCCCGGATGCAGGCCGCCTCTACATCCTCAGGGTCCCCAGCGTTGCCGATGGCTAGGACGGAGGCAAGGATGCAGCTCGGCTCAGATGGCGCCGGGCTGCCGGGTTTCGTTTGGGCCTCTGTGATGTCCAGGAAATGGGCCAAAGACTCTTGATCCATGTCTCCCAGGGACTGCAGCCTTACCGTGAAAAGGAAGGCTGTGGATGAAACTGCAGTATAGCTAGATCTACCCAGACACTCCTGCGTAATCCTTTTGGGCTGATATATTATAATCCCTTACCCCCCAGAAAACATAACAGACCCAAAAAGGAACTGCATAGGAGCCCTTAGGTATGCACATAAGCATCAAAACTGACATTGCATCCCGAACTCTTTCAATCACCCTTCTTACCTCTGGGAAGCAAGGAATGAAGGAATGGATCCTGGTAGTCCCGCAAGCAATCCCCAATGATATAGCATACTATGGTATATGATTATATAATCTGGTATATTATACTATCTTATAGTATGTTATTGTAGTTTCCATTCTCTTTGGACCACTCTTCCTTCCCGACTAACCAAAGATGAGTCTAGCCACCATCCTCCTCCCAGGACCTTCAAGTACTCACCTCCTTTGGGGTGCTGTTCCCAAGGTGCGAAATCCAAGTGTATCAACTCAAGACAAACCCTGCACCCTTAATTTCCCAAGTGTATCATACCAGCCCAGGACTTCATGGATCCATGAGACCAACAAACTTCAGCTCAAATCCCTCCTTAACCCAAACCCACCGCAACAAAAACCAGCTTTTCGCCCAAGGCGCGAGTCTCCATAATAAGGATTCCGAAATATTAGGCTCCATACATGGGGCCCACAAGATTCTGAAAGCATCCAACTAGCAGGCAAAGCGGCCATCTTGAACTGCTTTCCGAAAAAAAAAACTCTGCCTTTAGCAACGAACGTCCCCTAGAGACCCAAGAGCGCCAAGCCGAGGCTACAACCAGAAATCTTTAACAACTTGCTGGTGCTAAAGTGGTAGCGGATTCCTATAACCCTAAGATATTTACCCATTGGCCTAGGTTTCCCCTTGCCCACTCCTCCTAAGGCACTCAGCTCAGGGGCAGAGACGCAAGGCGCACGGAAGTGTCTTCCTGCTAGGGAGCTTGTTCTGACGGTTGAACCAAGTAAGATTATACAGGGTTTGGCGTTTAGGGTCTATGGCAGACTGTACTCCCCAAATCCTACACCCAATGCCCTAAGCTACTAGCAGTCGCTGGTGTAACTACAGTATTCCTCCCGTGCCGTGGGCATGGTTAGCTTCTTTATTTTCTTGCAGCAGCTAGGGTTTAGAATTGATGGTAGAGGATTTCGGGTTTAGGGGCTTACGGCAAATGACTGCAAACATTGGGTGGTCTGGACACCGGCTGCAGATTTTGGGTTACCAGGTGTCAATGTCAGGCCTTATGAGCCATGTGAACGAAATCGCTGTGCTGTACCCGTAAATGCATGAAGCTCTTGTTCTCGGAGCTTCCCATGACGGATGATGAGCATTTCTTGGCCATCTAAAATGCCTGCTGCAGTTTCGTAGAATCACAATTTCAAGGTTTGGCTACAATATGTTGACGTTGCGGGGCTAGCCCTCCATTACAACGCTACCAGGGATGCAGGGATCTCCGACATAACCCTATAATCCCAATAGCTTCCAGCTTCTTTTCCATTATCCCAATATAACCCCACCCTAAAAACTAAACCCTAAATCCACTAGAGGCAAATGCGAATGCGGAGCTTACGGACTCGCTACCGCTGTCGGACAGCCGAATGCAGGTACAGAGCTGCGGGGGACTCACACCCTAATAAACTCCCTGGTGCTTAGGAGGGAATGGGGGAATGGATCATGGGGACTATTATTGAGGATAATACAGGGACTACTATAGGGATGCATTCCCGCATTCCCTACTAAGCACCCTAACAAAGCGTTACAATCCATTCCAATGAGATCAGGGCGTCTGCCTGCACTCCTGAAAAAAAAAATATATATACATATATAGGGTTTTCATAAGGATTACTTAAGGACATGTGATAGGGATACTGCCGCAACAATGGAGAAGTGGAAAAGGACATAGCATGGCAAACTACTGTATATTGGGGTTATATAGGCGGAGGGCAAGACTGGCCTCCAAGCTGCGCAGCCTATCCTCCACCCGCTGTAACACCGTCGAAACGTCGACGGCCATTGCGCGGACGTGCGGAATCGCGCACCACAAGCAACGAGGATTGCAAAGGCTCAAACTCCTTTCAAGCCATGGCACTCAATGTCATTGGATTTGGGGTTTAGGTTGAGCTCAAAGCGCCTCCAGTACTACAAATTAATCTTCTATTGCATTGCAGTTCGGAGGTATTGTAACTGTATAGGAGGCTGTGGATGAGGGCAACCCTTTGCGCAGCGTGCGTAGGACCTCAGGGATATGCAAAACTTGGGAGGATCATAGATTATGTCGGGCCAACATTGGGGCCACTGTTTACGGAAGCGCCATCTGGCTACAGCATGGCACAAGGAAGGCAATTTCCAACGCATGTGCGCAGGTCCTTGGGTTTACCCTGAGATTCGTGCTTGCCGAGGTAGCTGAGGTGAGTGACAGGGGCCTGTTGACGCTAACCGGGCTCTTATGGTATGAGTAATAAAGACCAGGTGAATTGCAGCAAGTATCACAACACAGGTGCGACATCCAGAGCAATTTGCACAGTAAGACTCATCATTCCTCCTTACACCGGTGGCATCAATGCCAGACTTCGCGGCTCTACGCAACGCAGCTAGCCCTGCCTCAAGCCCGATATAATCGAAAAAACCCTATTCCCTTATACCTTATGCCCACCTGGCTGACGACCGAATGAACTATAACTAGCAAACCTGGAAAGATTTTGGCCGCATGCTCCGTTGCTATCGAAATGTCTTCGTTAACCACGCGTGAAACGCGCGTGACAGCGCGGGAGCTTCTACTAAAGTTCAGGTAGAAATCTGCTTGGCATAGTTATTGGCCAACAGTGGTGGTGCCTGAGAACCTCCCGCACCTCATTACATTAACAATTGCTGGGTTGCTGTTAAAGAAAATAATTTGAGGTGCTATAACCTTCATTATGGTGACTTATTTTAAGCTCATTCACAGCAACCCAGGTTGTTCAGGGTAGTCCTGGCTTCACATCTCCCTCGCATACCACACGACGAACTCAGGGTAAGCCTCCCGGGTCGATCGGTAGAGGTGCCAAGAGTTGTCTGGTGGCCTGAGCCCTATAAATGGGGATTTCCCAAAATCAGGGTACCTTTTTGAGGGTCCCCATAATGAGGATTAGAGTCTTTTGGGGTCTATACTGGGATCCCCCTATTCAGGAAGGTCCCGAATCCACATGGAAACTGATACTTCTCGACAAAAAAACTCGACCAAACGTCAAAATATTCCAGAAGGATCCTGAAGCAGCGTGGTATTCTCAAAAGTGAAATGGAAATACCTCTGATATGCTACTCTAGGACTCAAAAGTGGGATACTGCCCTCATTCTAGAACAGTCATCTCCAGGATCACAGGCATACTATTACTTTAGGGTTTAGGCTCAGACATCACCATATTGGGCCCTGTTGCTGTGGCCTACGCCCTTGACCCACCACCCTAACCCCCAAACCCAAAGCTCTAAACCAAAACCCCAAACCCCAAACCCTAAACCAAAGACCCGAAACCCGAAAACCCTAAAACCTCAACCCTAAGCCCTATACCTGAAACCCTGCACCCCTACCCAACCCATACTTCCGCAGATGCAGGTCCTGGTCTGTGTCAAACACGATCATCTCGCGAAACCTCGGAAGCTTGGGTAGTTTGGGCTTAGAGTTTAGGATTTAAGATTTCGGGTTTAGGGCTTAATGTTTAGGATGTAGGGCTTAGGATGTAGGATTCAGGATTTAGGGTTAGCATTTAGGGCTTAGGAATTAAGGTTCAGCGTTTTGCCATACTGAAACATTCTCGTTCGAGGTCTATTTAGAGATTCGGGATGATTTTGGGGCTTCGAGCTTCGTATTTCATGTTTTGTTTTAATAAATATGAGCTGTACTATAAACTCCTCAAAGGGGGTTATATAGGGTTTAGGGCTTAGGCTATAATCTAAGCTCCATAAAGAAGTTTGGGATTAGGGAATTCTATCGGGGAGTATTACAAAGGTATTGAAGGGGGATACTAGGAGGTTAGACTATACATGTAGCTGATATGGTGGAAATTCACCAATGTGATCAACTCTAGCCAAGATTCTCATAAGTCGAAGGTCTCCAGGGACGTAATATGGGTTCTAAGGGAAGTTTACTGACGGCCCCTTGAGAAACTATGTATTGGATTCTGACTGGCCTTCATGTGGCAGCAATTAACGATATGCCGCAACAGCCTGTTGTCTCTAGCGTCCGCTTTCCCATCATGAGCATTTCTACTAGCCTCGGCTTACCCTAACCCTAAACCCTACGAAGCTGGGTCTCGCACGTATTTCGGATCTTCTCGCGATCTCCAAGCACAGAATGGTTCGCACCTCTTGTGCAACACCTGCCACCCAGGCACATGATGCCGAAACTGTTGGGAATAAGGGAATATATTCGGGTTAAAAGATAAGGATACTGGAAAAAATGGAAACTACTACACAATAATAGGCTATATCTTGGGGCAAGTAGGGAAAAATGCAGCTACCTTGTGAACTCAGCGGCCTGACGAGATCGTTTGTGTTCGGATACTCTTCGTCCGTATACCTGAGCATCTACAGACGTGCGCTGCAGAGCATGCATCCGAGGAATCGCAACAGACACAGCTGGCCTGAAGCATGTTTTCAATCCCTCCAAACACATTCTCTGTGAGCACTGCTGTCACAAATGCGATCGCATCTTCCATCTGACAAGCCCGTGTGCGCATGACTTTCCTTGACCATGTGGCCAGCAATGCACCTAGTGCTGATCGTGAAGAAAGCGTGGGTCATGATTGGCCACCAGCGCTGCTCTTTGTATCCAGCTTGTGTGGCGCATGTTGATTGAAAAGGATTGCGATTGCTCTTCTCACCGCCGCGTGTACATGCCAATTTCAGAAAACCTGTCTCATTGCCGTTCTGCCGCTGATTACTTGGCATACACCCCGCTTGCCCGTGCACCGGAAATTGCTCAGCAGTATCTTGAATATTCTGCAGGTGCTGTGATGCAGAAAGTCTCATCTAACATCTATTTGCAGTGCAGGTCTACATTGAGTCTACGTGTCTATGGTTTAAGCTCCCAGTATCCCCCTTAGTAATCCCTAGAATACTCCCCGAATAATCCCCACTATAACCGCCCTTTAAGAACTTTTGACTAGAGCTCACATACAGATGTAAATTGCTATTCAGCAACAACTTGGGTACTGCCCCCACTCAGTAACAGTTGGATAGTACGAGTAATTATAATATGGTTCTATATAGCCCTTAATAGGACCCGTAATATGGACTGTCACTGGGTGGGGGCAGTACCCAAGCAACAACCCTGGTAAGCTTGTGGCAGTAAACGGCCCAGCGTCACACGGCAAACCTTGGCCCAGCGTTCTAGGGTTTAGGGCTTTAGGCTTTAGGAATTTAGCACTACCTTAGCTTAGGTGGACCCCCCACCCAGTAAGGGTGAGCATAAGGGATCTCTTACATCCCCAGTATACCGCTATTACAGGGTGAAGGGTCCACCGAAGCAATGCCTCTGAAAACTAGGCGTGGGCAACAAAGAAACAATAACTCCCGACATTGAGCCTCCTGAGCAGAACATGTCAAATGCACCATCTCCCAAACGAATCCGACACATGACTCTTACAACTCGTCTGCCCTTTCGAATGTTCAAAGTGTGTGTTTTGGGGGCGGGTATACTTCTATATGAGAAACCTCATGAAGTCTTGCTAATGCAGTCCATGTCTCCAACATGCAGCAAAGGCCTCGCAAGACGGATTCCGTTTTTAGGTACTATACTATACTTTACGCAACCATCGTCTCCTATTCTCCTTCCTGGGCTGTGGGTAGACTCAAAGTGTAATCATGATTTTCTGTAGGCTTTTGGTAAATTTCACGATGTAGTTCGGATTTGGGGTTTTCGGCATACTCAGAGTAGAATTGTGTGTTTCTTGTCACATGTTTGTCTACTCAGGTTCAAAAGCAAACCCAACAATAAAAGCGACCCAGATCCCCGCGCGTGCCCCAAGGCAGGTACAAGGGTCCAGGGTTGAAGGTACAGAGAAAGACCTCTGTCTTCTGGAACGCATCTATGTAGGAGCTGCGGTTTTTTGGGGAAGGGTCATGGGTGATACTTCTTGGGTGCACCCCTCCCCAACCTTCAGGTGTGTATCCCTCTCTGGAGATCCTACAAGTCCCCCTACTATTGACTACTACCATTGCTGTATGCTTTGATATCTATAGTAAAGGTTCACTATTTGGCGGGGTGGCGCGCTTCGGTCAGTATTGGGGGACAGAATTACATCATGTACGGGAGCTTCACTTTGACAAATACTCAACTGAGCACCGCCCGAGCAATACATCTTTCGGGATATCTGAGCACCCTCTTGCAGGTTGCAGGGTAAGGAGCCACAGTTGGCACACTTCTCAAAACTAGGGCGGTTTAGGGTTTAGGGCCACTGTACCACTTTCAGGGATCTAGTCTTCATACTAGGGGACCCGGAGAATAGGATCCACACCTCTGGCGAGCCCAAAAATTGAGCTAGCCAACATGTATTGGCCCTTGAGCACTGTAGCAGCCTCTGTCATCTTCGGTAGCGTACCTGCCAAAATGGGCTGCAAGGCATGATGTAGAGCCTGCAGTATTTGGTGATTTTCTACACATTCAAATGTTCAATTTATGCCGTCAAGCCATATAAGCATGTTTGCAGGTCTGCAGTTGCGAAGCGCACTCGTCGCTTTTCCCAGTGCTCTCACCTGAGAAGCTCTTCAAGGTTCATGGTAGTCATGGGTAAGGGTATAATCAGGATATGTCTAGCTGTAACCAAATGTGTGGTGACCTATATGCCACTCATGACTACCCACGAACTCTCAAGTACCGTCACGGCCTTGGTCAACAGAGCCTATAATCCCAAAATTGCATCCAGCCCGTTGGATATCCCGGCTACAGTCGTAACCAGAAACCCATACTGAACCAAAAGCGGGAACTACATTAGGTTGCCCGAGTAGAGAGGAAAACCAAGGGCTCTGCTGAAGTAGAGT